CCACGGCACACCGGTCTTATCCCTAGTCAAGTCCCTATGGTGACACTTGTCATGAAAGTCATTTTTTATTATTAAAAATTTGAATAACTTTAAGTAATTTAATTAGACAATATTAATTAAGAATAGATAATGTTAGCCAGTTTGTACTCATTAGTCAGTGGGTGGTGCCCACAAATTACACGTGCCTTGTGAACTTGTTATATATATATAAAATAATGTGTGTACATCTTTCAACATATTTATTGTATTTTCTCTGCATGGGGCAGCAAAAGTAGTTGGCAATTTTGTTGTTGCATGCATGCCCTTCAATATAAGAAAACAAAGATCACGGGTTACATTAGAATTTAATTTTTGCCTAGTGTGTCGCCACTTAAATTTTATTGCATGTACGCAATTTTATTTTTAATTTCGTGGCGGGTGACCTTAAGGTTTACCTGCGACATCTCACACACACACACATATATTATAATGATTATAATTGATTCGAAATATATGAACTAACTCATAATAAGACATTACGGCTATATTTGTAATATACTATGATATTATTTTTTTAATATTAATTTTTAAATTAGAACTCATATTATATTTGGGATGACTAATATTAGTTTGGAATAATTCATAACATATCGAATTTTTTGACCAAAATTTATATCACCAAATTGGTTATATTGTATATTTTGGTATTATAGCGGAGAAATTAAATCAAGTTTTTGAAAATTTGAAAACAAATTTTTATTACCAAACATGATTTTGATTTTTACCCAAAATATTTCTACAACAAAACAGTTGTTTTGATATTAACAAAAAAACATAACCCCTGCCAAACGGGCCTACATGTTTAATTATCAAACTTCTAATTTAACAAGGAGCTCAATTTATGCTATAACTAAAAATCATTTAGAGAGAAGGATGGGAAACCAATATGTTTTGGTTAAATTATTTGATACCTTAAATTTATATTTAATAATTTGGATTTAAGTTCTAACAATGTGCATGCATATTTAGGAACCATATATTTGTATGGGTTTCAAATAATAAATATAAAGTGTAAGGAATTATTTGAAAATTATGCCATCAAGAATTTTAGCTGAAAAATGTTGTGAAAAAACAAGCCTTCACTGTCTTTGATACTGACATTTCTGTAGAACTCCAAAATACGTACAACTTCAATAACTATTATATATTCTATTTAAACTCAAATCTCTTGCTTTCAAACCCATTCATTTGTCCAACGACTTAGTATTAAATATTAATGTCCATACCAAACTATACGGATTTGTATTGCTTTCAAGATTACAGACAACTAGGGTTTGATGAGAGCATAGGTTAGGTGAAGCTACCAAAAGAGAATACAGTATTCAATTAGTGGACAATATTATAGTTAAGGTCTATACGCATTGACCGCTAATAATGGAAACAGATGCAGCAATTTCTTCGTACATTAAATAAATATATATATACATACACACACATATTACTGGAGTATTTCATATCTGTAAGGATTCATTTGGTTAGCGTGAACTAGTCAGAAAAAAAAAAAAAAATTGTAATGTTATGGCTCGAATTTGGTGCGATTCGTGTGGTGAATCATAATTAATATTCTCTTTTACCCAGATATATAAGGAAGTTTAGGATTTAGAGTGAAATAGACTGAGAGAGAGAAAGTGGGGTTGAAACTTGTAATCTCCAAAATATCGTATAATGAAAACTTTCGTCGAATCTTCACCGTGAATATAGGCTTTGCCGAACCTCGCTACATCTTCGTGTTCTTTATATGTCGCATGTTTATTTTTTGTTCGTAATTCTGGATTTTATCTAGATTTTGTATCTTGCAACAAAGCCAGGCCATCTAAAATTTGAACGACCTATTTTTCTAATTGAATTCACTGCAACAAAACGATAAAAACCCTTTCACCATCCACAGTGGGAGGTGAGTTCCAAGAGTCATCTAGTTTGAGAAATCGATTTAAAAACTATTTTCCGTAAGATTACATTTTAGAGAGCTCAAAGTCAACTTGAACCCATTGGACCTGAAGAAACGACCACGATTGCAATTAGAAGGCTGTTTAAACACTAAATGGTTCTGCCCAATTGCACTCAAGTTTGTTTTTTTCGGAAAGTAATTGCACTCAAGTTTTGCAGTCACTCCAGTGTGTGTGTGTGTGTGAGAGAGAGAGAGAGAGAGAGAGATATGTGGAGTAGTATTAGGAACTCGAGGATTCTACTTGTCTTGATTAAGCTTTGATAATGATGCATTACCCTTAAGTCATATAACTAATGCAAATTAATGATGCGCTCTTGGGTTTCTAAGCCCCTGTACTTGTCTCAACTAACGAGTTCACAAATCATTGTTCAATCAGTAAATGTCACTAATCATATTTAAAATAAACCCTTACTCATGATTATCACATTCAAGTTATTTACTAGTCAATTCTATCCTTCAGGGCTTCAACTACATTTTTCATCCTTTAGTTTATAGTATGTCCTAATTCTTAAGGGATTTTTATTTTTATTTTAAAGAAAAGGCATAGATTACATAAACTGATATACATAAACACACTGATAATACTTTATAATAGAATTAACCAGGAAATAACTTGCGGATAAAGGAAGGAGACAGCAAAAACAATACCATATACAAAAATCCATCCATGAAGTTGTTAGAATTAATGTTGATACAAGTGATTATTTGGTTGAATTAGACGGTCCATTAATCGACGTCCAATAGTCTAATCAAGATTTGTTAAGTTGGCAGGCCATCATTAACGAATATTTCATGCAAGGTTGGTGAAAGGGATTATCAGCTACTGGTTTTGACACCAAACACATTCTACCTTCCCGAGTAACCCACAGCATGTTAAAGTATGGAAGACTTACACAAGTATATATGTATTTTTGCATAAAAGTCATATATCTATATATATAATTAATATATGATATATCGCAGTGGGGCTGAGGGGGACTGAGAGGTTTGAAGAGTCTTGGTCATTGATATGGTATTGGCAATTACTAGTAGAGTTGAAGAGAAGTAGGGACCTGTCTTTTTTAGAAGAATAAATAATGTAAAAGGAGTCCCTCCCTCGAGACGAACATCAAGACTCCTTATATATTCCTCTTCAGTAAATTTTCTTTTTTTTAATTGGTACTTACATACACATGCCTCTACCAAAGCTTGAATCCCTGATCTCCCTTTGGGAAGGAAGTAGGAGCCTGGCACCGCGAGGCCACTAGCATGTTGGTATTCCTCTTTAGTAATTCATTCTCACAAGTTTCTTCAGTGAACTCTCTTTGTTTCTTTACAAAAGTGTGTGGAGGATTTTTGGATGAGCCACTGGCCATTGCTAGCTGAAGTTTATCATAGTAAGACCCTAAAGTTGCTCAAAGAAACCAATTCTGCAATGCACGAGGACACTCGAAGGACTTAGCATCGGTAGGTAATCTGTCAATTCTAGATTACAATGCGAGTGCAGTTTGTTACCTGGAAAAGGGATAACCATTGCCAAAGGTTATATTATATGATCATAATTGAGTCATTAGCTCCTGTACTAAAAACTGGTTTGATCCAATTAGGCCTAAAGGCTACAAGAATCATATGACAGCATGATGGTCGAAGATAATTGACAGTGTCACAGTGGAAAGTGGTCATGACAATATGCCTGTGAAGCTACGTTTTGGTGATGATGGATCAGTCATGTATGCCAATCATGCCATTATAACTCTCACTGGGGGTACTCAAAGCTGGAATTCACTAAAATTCAGGTATGTTTGATCTTCTAATTCCTACTTCTAATACAGGCAATTTCAAGGCTTGGTTTTGGGGTCGTTGACAAGTTGTTTTTGCAATTGACTCCAACCTGTGATCGAAAAGGCAAAAATTGCAGCAAGTTTCCATTTCAGAAAATGGCTTTCTATTGATCAGAGTCCGAACTAAGGCACCAAAAATTCCTTGGTGGATGAGGAGGACAATTTCTGTGTCCAATCTATGGCAAGTCTGAGTGTTCTGCTATCTCGGTTTGCAGGCAAAGTAGCTCTTGAGCTTGAGTCTCTCAAAAGTGAAGAGATTATGAATAGGGTCTCAACAATAATCTCTAGCTTCTTGTTGAATTCCCAAAGCCAATTGGATTCTAATCCCCTAAAATATGCAACAGGAATGTGAATTATGTCGGAAGCTCTAAGAAAGAAAAATCAAATTTCATTAAGGTTTTGAAGAGCCAATGAGGCACCAACCCACTTTTCTTGGTGTCTTATAGTAAAACACGGTGGGATCAGGTGGCAACGATTTAGACACCATGGCTGAACCATTGCCTCTGAACACGAATTATGGGTCTAAAGTTTCCTCTCCACTTCAAATTCTGCTTGTGGGGGAAGCAAATCATAGAACTAACTATTCTACATACTTTGGCGGCCTTAGAGAAGCCAATAGGCTTCTTCAACATAATCTCTCCTTTGGTGTATGAGAATAGTTGTTGCAGTATTAGCACAAAAATCCTTCAGAACCCTTGTTTAAAAATAATAATAATAAAAGAACATGTAATGCTAAATCTACCATGCAATCCGAGTTTGTTGCTCTAAAATTGTCAGGTATATAAGCAGAGTGGCTTAGGAGACTACTGGTAGTCATACCATTGCGGACACATCTGTCTCCATTTATATCCTGCACTTTGAACAAAAATTAAACTGTACAATGAAAAGAGACACATACATATTAGGCATTACATTGAAAGACAACTTACCAGGAATTCTTGGATATTTATGGAATTTATGAGGTCATATCTGGTAGATCCTTTAACGAAAAGTTTATAGAAAATTGGTCCAAGATACATCGAGGAGAATGAGATTTAAACCATTGAGAGAATTACCCATGATTGCAGATCTCATGGATTAGGTTCATGTATAAAAAGAAGTCATGGGGAGTTCTAAGTGCTACCACAGTACCATAGTCTCTCTAGAAGTATATTTAGTACTTACTGCCAAATGTTTATGGTTGAGTTTAATGACATCGTAACCTGAATCGCTGGTGTGTGATAGTGCAAGCTTGATGGATTCGGCCGTGTGGTAGATAGAGATAGTTAAGACCTTCTATAAAATGGCCAACTTTCCAGAGCCTCCACGAACATCCAAGTTGGCGAATGGTTGTGACTTGTGACATGTTAAATCAAGGACTTGCTAGGATAAGATTTTGGTACGTGTGCAAGTTTAGTTGCTTACATTTAAGATAGGAGGTTCCAGATCACTAAAGGATCTTGAGCATTAGAGTTGGTGATATCATTGAGTCAAAACAACATTACACGACTTGCCCAAGGAAAAAAAAAAACTACATTACATGCTACAAGGAGAAAATAAGTAATAACCAACATGTTTACAGAAAAAGAAGGAAAATTTTTAATAATGAACAAACTCAATAAAGCTGAAAGCGACTAAACAGACATGTACCTGTTATTTTAACTGCCAAGTCTATTCAATATTGTAACATGATGTTTCTCCCCAAGCTTTAACACCTCCACTTGCTGAATTACCTATCATAAAGATAATACTTCACCCTATCAAGAAAGAACGCTCTGAATTGAATTAACAGAAATAAACAATTAGACAATTAAATTCGAGAATGAATATAAAATATTTTTAATGTAAGAGTAGGATTTTTACATCAGAAAAACGTGCATAAAGATGTCAAGATTGAGTGCATATCAACTATATCATGCTCGATGACTTGATCTTATTGAAAATACTATAGCCTGCTGTGGTTCCATTATCATCCAAGATGTATGACATGGTTTTTCGTAATGTACCTGATTAGCATGGTTGCATCTCTTTTATCTTGTGGATCAAAACGCAGTTATACTGAAATCAACTCATCATCAAAGTTTACATCACAATGCAGGGGATATGGTCTATCTTGGCCCAATTCGTCTCGCAATGCTGCTCAAGCAGAGGACAGTGGCTGATCTCTAGATAAGAAAGTGTTGACGGCAGCCACTCTGGCAAGGACTGGAGACTATTGCAATCCTTGATTTTCAGTTCCTCGAGAGAGGTGAGATTTTGCAGCCAGGTTAAAGAGTCCAGACTGGAAAGCCTCTCGATGTGAAAAGTGCTGAGGGTAGAAGGAAGCAGCCACTCTGGAAAAGAAGCAAGATCTGAATTTTCGCCATAAACGATCATTCTTTTGAGAGAAGTGAGTCTATGCAAACCCCACTCGGACAAAGGCGTAAGGTTCTTGCAATCCTTGATCTCTAATGATATGAGGTTAATAGGTAAACCACCTTCTGGAAAGGATATGATGCTCGGACAATCAGATAACTGCAGTTCTTGAAGAGATGTGACGTATTGCATCCTCTCTGGCAGGGACTTCAGATTCTCACAATTAATTATATTAACCTTTTTGAGGCTGGTTGTGGGAAGGCCTCCTTGTGGAAAGGAGACAAGACCAGGACACCCATCAATTTCAAAATAATCAAGATGTGCTAGATTGTGCAAGCTGCTGGGTAAGAATTTAAGATTCGTACATTTCACAATCCGAAGAGACTCAAGAGAAATTGTTTGCATCATCACATCTGCTAGGCTCTCTAGTTTGGAACAATTTGAAATAGCAAGTGTCTTTAATGTGGTGGGCAGCTGCCCTTTTGGAAAGGACATGATTGAAGAACAGTCAAAAATTTCTAGTACTTCAAGAGACATGTTGTTGCTGTGCATTATCCCCTCAGGAAGGGACTCTAGGTTCGGACAATATTCGATGGTCAGCTCCTTGAAAGTGGTTGGGAGAATGGGTTCCACACCTCCTCTCGGAAAGGAAGTGAGGTTATAACACCCACTGATGTACAAGCACTCGAGAGATGCACTTCTGTCATTAACAACCATTTCAGGTAATGACTCTAGGTCACATCTTCGGATTGCAAGACCTCTTAAATTAGATGGAAAATTTGTCTGTGGAAATGATGCAAGTCTTGGACAATCCTTGATTGTCAGTTCACGGAGAGATGTAAGAATATGCAATCCGAATGGCAGCTTCTCCAACATATGACAACAATCTAGTTCCAAATATTCCAGTTTGCCAGGAAGCTGTTGCTCTCCCTCAAACAAGGAAACGAGTAATGGACAGTTTCGAATCACCAGATGCTGAAGAGAAGTTAGGTGTTGTAATCCAACCTCATTCTGTGCTAAATACATTAGATCAAAACAATCAACAATAACTAACCGTTCAAGTCGTGCTAACCATTGTATCAACCCTGCAGGTAGATATGTCAAATTTGGAATAAAATTGATGTCCAAGGAAGCAAGTGAGGTAAGGTCAAGTGCAGCACCCAGAAATGCCTTGTCACATTCTTTTAACTCTAATTCATGAAGCAGTGGAAGCCTTGGAAGTGAAGAAGTCAACTGCTCACTTTCATGTATCACGAGTTTTGTCAAGGAAGGGAGGTGGTTGGGTAATTCCCTCTGTAGCTTGGGACATCTCTCTATATAAAGCTCACGGAGACTGGGGAACCCTTCAAAATTTTCACCTCCAAAAGAAGACCAGTCTTCCCATTCTGGCATCTCCTCGAAACATAGCAGCTCCAGTGATGGAAAAGGCCTGACAGAAGAAAGACCATACCCATAGAACTCAGGACCAACACTCTTCACTCCATTCATTCCCTTAATGAGGAGCTTCTTGAGTGAGGGTAGTTGACCTAGTGGTGGTAAGAACATGCATCTTTCGCAATCGACAAAACTTAGAGACACCAGCTTATAGAATGAGGGATTCCCTAACCAAGATGCAAATCTTGTACCACGATAGCATTTAACAGTAATCTTCTCTAGCTTTTGATGTGGTTGTAACATTTCAAGGACATCCATTTCAACACTTTCATTTCTCAATTCGTCAAAATTGTTGCTCCATTCCACCATTAATTCATTAAGGTCTTGCTTGTCCTTTAAATTGGCTCTCCTTGCTTCCCAAGCATTGGCCACATTTTCCAACCTTGATATAGAAAGTCTTCCTTGAAGATGCACCAAGTTCCTCAGCTTGCCTATCCCGGAGCCACTATCACTGCCCACAATAAACTCAGGCAATGTATGCAGGCTCCTCAAGTTATCTATTTGCAGTGGCATCTCTCTTATACCACTTCCACTGATGTCAAGGTGTCGTAGGTTAATTAAATTTCCCATGTCCATGGGCAACTCGGTCAAATGGATACATTCACATAATAACAATGTCTGTAGATTGTAAAGTGTACTTACAGATCGAGGAAGGCTGTTGATTTCTGTGTGAGAGAGATCAAGATACCGAAGGTGTTTCAAATTGCCAATAGAATCTGGAAGTTCATTAATGCAATAACCACTCAGAGACAACACCCGTAAAAAACTTGATTTTGGCAACAAATCATGCACGACCTTCTTAGTTAAATAGCAGAATTCACCTCCAAGTGATGATGCTAATGGTAAGAAGGTGCGTAACCGCCTCACTTCGTATAATGACTCGAATTTTTTGAAGACATCATATTTGGTGCGAATGTATGAAAAATGATGACCCTTTTCAAAAATTTCGTGCTGCTTATTTTTCTCCTCCTTATCCTCCAAGCGCATACACATTTTTCTTGACACAAATTGAGCTAAATCGTTGATTAGGTCATGCATCACATATCGTGCTTTGCTTTGTGTGGACTCTTGGAACAATGATCTGGATAATAATTCAGCAAAATAGCCATCAGCCACTTCTTCCATTCTCTTAACTTTTTCAATTTGCTGCACAAAACCTTCGGCCATCCATAGCAAGACTAAGCTTTTCCTATCAAATTCATAGTCCTTTGGAAATATTGAACAATATGCAAAGCACCGCTTTAAATTGGTCGGGAGATGATGGTAGCTCAACCTCAGTGCTGGAAGAATGGCATTTTTCTTGGGTGGCAAATCCCATAAGTTGCTATTCAAAATTTTATACCAATAATCAGTATCTAGTTTGGAGCCCAACAGACCTCCTAGTGTCTTAGCAGCCAAAGGCAACCCTTTACACTTGTTCACTATTTGTCTTCCAATTGGTTTCAGACTTGGAAACACATCTGGTTTTCTATTTCCAAATGCATGGTGCAGGAACAACAACCAACAGGCATTATCTGACATTTCCTTCAGACAATAAGGCGGAAGAGTGTTCGTGACTGATAAAACCTCTTCATTACGCGTAGTCACAATGATTTTACTTCGTTTAGCCCCAACCATGAAAGGAAGCAACAGAACATGCCAATTGTCATAATTTTCGTTCCATACATCGTCCAAGACAATGAGGAATTTCTTTTTGCTCAATTTATCTTTCAAACTACTCTGAAGTAGTTCCAGGTTCATGGTATCACATGGTTTATTAGTGGCTGACTCAAGAAGGGCTTTTGTTACATTCATCACATTGAAATCATCAGACACACAAGCCCATGCTTTTACATCAAAACACTCATCCATTCTCTTATCATTATAGACCGTCTGAGCAAGAGTGGTCTTGCCAATCCCACCCATTCCCAAAATGGGAATCACACAGAATGGATCAGTATTATCCATTTCATCATCAGCCAACAACAATTTAATTATCTCCTCTTTATCACCATCCCGACCGTAAACATGAGATTCAATCAAATGGGGAGTAGTGGGTGTTCTTTGTGAGACCCCAAACTTCCCTTCGCCATCATTTTTCAAGCCAAGAACATCTTTCTGTTTCGCAATGTACTCCAATTTCTCAATAACATTCTCAATCTTTGACACCATCCTTTCACTAAATGGATTAAAGTAAGCAAAGTTCCAATTGCGTACCTGATTGGCAAAGGTCTGAGAGCTGGACTCCAACTTGAATCGCAGAGCTTCCGTGGCCAATTCGTCCAGTGTGTCCTCGGCTTCATAAACAGCATCCTTAAGCATGTCCAGCCATATTTCCACAGATGGGTTGTTGTATTGCTTCTCCTCTGCATCATCGAGCACCGCAGTGTTGGTGAAATAAACAATCTTGAGCTTATCAATCAGAGATTCATTGATGTTTAATCTGTGTAGGAACACCATTATTTCCCCAGAAGCTAACTTGTCAAACAGAACTTGAAGTGCTGGAGAAAGAACAGCCTCCCACCAAACCATCTTTAGTTTCTCTTCTAGTTTCTGAAGTGCAGGAAAGAAAAGTTGGGTGAGGCGACTGGTTATCTCAAGCTTGTGATCACCATCAAAGTAAGCAAGCTTTTTAATTTAACATATATAATATATGTATATATCTCTCCCATTGACTTGACTTGTTCTTCCATATATCATAATGACCTTCATCTTACCACTTGCCTTGCAAATCCACTACATTAAACAAAGAATTCAAAAAGGGCCTACTGACTAATGGTACCAACACCGACAGATAAATAGATATTTTGTGCGATTCCAATCATGGTTCACAGTGGCCGGTGGTGGTGACGGTCGGTATTGGTGGCAATGTAACGAATTTGGACAAAATTAATATAAACTCGAATCACGTGTATGACTTAAAAATGAATCACTAATCAAACTATACAGGAACCACGATTCCAATAAATAAGAAGAATTTTTTTTTACTCGAGAGTGGTTTACCTCAATGATTGCCAAATCGATGTGACAAAAATCGATTGGCAAAAATATTTATTTTTCATATTAATTATTCTATCCCAATACTTATATAATATATATATCAGTACTAGTAAATATATATACATGTACTACAGGTTTTACTTTTACAATAATAAAAACATTATAAGAGACTGCAAATTAAACAAAAAGATTTTTTCCTGGTCGTTTTCAGGATTCGAAGTTCCATAGGTACTCTACTTTCTTCAGTGACTAAATAATGACCCTTAAATACACAAATTATAAACTAATAATAGTTTTTCTACAAATAAAAACACTTATCTAAAAAGATAGCATCGATATACCACAAATATTAATTGATATACGTATACATATATATTCTTACATCTTCCCTACTTGCCTAATAAGTAGGTAGGACAACAAAGACGAGCAAATACTCAGCTAGCTAAGAAACAAGCTTTGGCCTCAGCTTGAATTCTTCCTAATTTACACACACGTACATATATATATATATATATATATATATATATATATATATAAAATTGAATCGAGATTCAACTTCGGATACATATACGAATCTAAATTTGTCAAATTAAAAATAAAACTATCCCGATTACTTAGAATCGGATATATGGATCCATCTTTTCCGGTCGATTCTTTATTAAAAAAAATCATATCCTAATGACTTTGAAACCTATTAACATTGAATAAAGAAAAAGAAAATTATGGAAATGAAAATCTAATTGAATGGACTAACCAACTTGATTCTTTACTTCAGAATTGGGTACTGTACCATGGTCGCTTGAGCGGCGATTTTCTTCAATCACCATCGTCGTCCTCCTAGCCTTAACGGTCCATTTTGGGTTGCTGTTTGAACCAAAAAAAAAATAATAATATTTACTAAAATAATAATAATAACATTTCTGTTATTTTGTTTGATAACAATTTTATTTAACGTATGTTTATAAATAATGGTTACCTAAATTATGAAATTTCTACTTAGAACGTATTTTTTAAAATTATAAATTATCTCGTATGTTAAGTAATGCTTCATATTATACGTCATTTTATCAATTATATTTAATTTTTAAAAATTATTTTTAATAACTTCGTCCCATATTAATTTAATTCACTTTACGCTCAGCCTATGCCTACGTTGGGCTTCAATGTCTATACAAAGACGGTGAAAGTTTTACAACATGCTCACACAGCCCAATCCCGTGGGTCTAAAGTCCATTAATGAGCTTCCGTAAAGCCCAATATTGAGAGTCAGCTGCCCATAAACGACCCTTTAAAGTAAGCATTCTTTTGGCGGGAATCGAATCTCACTTGCCTGCTATCGCTCGCTCTCCGTTGCCGTCAGATTCTGTCAAATGAGCAGATTACCAGAAATAACCGATCTCTTCGCGAGGCTCGCATCAAATCTCCAAACCCTAAAAACAACGGTCGGTGATGAAGATCAAACCTGTGATCTCTTAATTTCAAATCTGAACTGTTCTCTCAATCTGAACGAAAATTCTAGGGTTAGGGTTTTGGACACTGCGCTCTCTTTGATGGGCTTTAGAGCACCACAGGTCAGTCCTCATAATTTCGACAGCCAAAGATTTATCGGTTGGGGTTTTAGACACTCATCTAATTTAATATATTATATATGTGATTGTTTAGGTCTTTGATTCAGGGATTGAATATCTGGTGAGGACAATTGTTACTGTTCTGTCTTCTACAATTGCTTGCAAGGTGTTGCGGTTTCAGAAAGAAGAGGTTTTGCAAATCGGTAGCACAATCTCGAGGCGTGATTGTGCAGAATTGATCGAATTTTGTGCTGATGTTTTGGGGAGATTGGATGGACATGGTGGGTCTGAGGAATTGATATGTGATTGTCATTTACAGATATTTTCCATTCAGAATTGCATACTTCTTAAAGAACTGTGTTATTGTGTAACTTACATTTGCAAAGTAGTGTCTTTTATTACACTAATGCTCTAAATACTATTGTTTGATGCTTGATACATATTTATTTCGCTTTGAAAATCCTATTTAAGATTAAATCAAGAGGCAATATAATATGCCAAACACAACAAAATTTGTAAGTTTCAATTGCAAAGTAAATGTTGTAATATTCCTGAATTGTGAAGGGACTAAATATTTAAATTTGATGTTTAAATTCATTTGGTCTTATGAGAAACATGTTACTGATGTCAATTGCATTGTTGAATATGTTCCTAATGGTGCAGGGATGCTTTCTCATACACTATTGCATGCTGTTGTAAGAGTTGCAGTATCAGCATCTTGCTTTCGTTATGTATTAGAATTGACACCTATTCTTGATGTAAAATCAATCGAAGGAAGAAGTCTAGCTGTTTCAAAGCTGCTCTGTCATTTGCAAAAGGAAATCTCTCTTAGAAACGAAGAAATACCACTGAGGTGCGTCCTCTTCGTATTTGGTTGCATTGTTTAGTTTAAAATAGAATGTTAGTTTTCATGCTTTTGTTTCTAGCCAAGGTGTAAGTTGATTCCACCCCTTGTCTAGGGCAGGTACGACCTGCACTCAGTGTGAGAATAAATATTCTTAAACCCCATAATAACTTTATATGGAAACCATGCTTTGCAAGCCCACATCGGAATAGCTATCTTTATTATGTTTGTCATGACTCGTGCTACATTGAGTGTTCGTGTTGCTCATCTTCTTCTTCTTTTTTGGTGGTTGTTTGGATCAGTTGCCTTATCGTTGATGGAAGGTTAACAACACATAAATTTATCTTCTGTCCTACTGAATACTGATGAATTAAATTCAAGAAAATACTTTGTCCCTCCTATTGAGGCTAACTATCTGACAGTGCGTTCACCAACAATCCTATTCCCTAGTTTTGTTATATACGATAGGGAACTTTGTGAATACACTGGGCTGAAGTAACCTGTTTTTCCTCCTTGCATTTAAGAGGCCTTTTTTTTTTTTTCCTAGTTGGTACTCACATACACATGCCTCCACCGAGGTTCGAACCCCTTACCTCCTTTGGGAAGTAGGGGGCTGGTACCGCTAGGCCACTGGCCCATTGGTTTTAAGAGGCCTTTCTTAAAAGCCTCTTGATTTGTGGAAGCGTTTTGGGATGGTACATTTAAGTTTCAGAGCTCATTTGTTTGGGTGCCCAAGTTCATGAATGCCCTTAAAGGTTTCTATTGAATGGAAATTAAAGGGAATGGCATGATTTAAGAATGCTTTACTGGTGTAATCTGATTAAGTCTCTTCTCCATCATATTTTATTGTTACCAATATAATTTCATCTTTGCAGGCTGTTGCTGTGGTATCTTGACCCTCTAATTCTAAAGAATGATCTCTTACAAATATTGCAAGAAGCTATTAGAAGACCTTTTCTTTGTTTGAATATTGTATTTTATGAGAGGACAGATTGGCGCCTTATACTTTTATGCTTGGCACTTACTCCTGCTATGTTTATCGAGACCAGGGCTCTATTACATAACTGGTTTCTGATGACGTAAGTTTCTAATGATTTTTGCATTGTAACTTATTTGGTCTTTTATCATGCTTGAAGGAACTGAAAATTCATTTATATGTTATGGACTTTAGCTTGTGTTCATATAAAACTTCTAATGATTTTTTCAACAGCTTTTGCATTATAAGAAAAGTTGGCCAAAGAAGTCCTTTATACCAGTTTGTATGCTTTCCGTGTTGAATATTTACCTATTGCTTATAGTTCTATGAAAAATCCAGCAGCAGCATGCATCTGTTTGTCAGAAATGTCTTATCCTTGATAGAAAGTTCTCTACATGTCATAATAGTATATCTAAAAATAATCAACATCGAATCTGATTCTTTGCAAAAATTGTTTCCATTTGGACGTGATTTTTACAGTTTCCTACAATGTTGGCAACTCTACCTTGCAGTTGACAGGAAACTTAATCCAGCTACTCTTATATGTAAAAAAATTTCCCCAACTTATAACCATGTTCTCTGTTTTCCTGAATGGGACCCACGCTTTCTGACTAAGCGCTGTCAAATTCGTTATACCTGTTCTGTAGATCAATCATGTTTTTTCTGTGTAGTGTAAAAGTTCTCATATTATCTACATTTAATTAACTGCATATAATTTTTTATTTAGTCAGTGTTGTCATTTTCACATTTTTGGTTAGCAATACAATCATTTAAGGCATCATACTGGTCATGTGTTCTCTAATTTAGAAAAGAGATAGGTTCTGAAAGTTACGTAATTTTAAATGAGTCATTAGATGACTTTGTGGGCAGGTTGTATCACTTATTTAAAATTTTTTGTAATTTCTAATTTTTTCATCCAATAATATAACATTAGTTTGTATTGCCAAATAAGCAATTATATTTGATTATTTTTTAACTTACTGGTTTGGGTTGGCTGTATATAACAGGGGCTTGGCTACTGTATTAGAGCTTCAAATTGAGCTAGTCCGGCTGATACTTGATGTAATTTCCAGACCAACGTGGTGGGGCATAACTATGGAAGTGGGGTCAAATTTACCTTCTTCTCATGCATACTTTCCGCAAAAACACCACTTGATGAGGACTTTGGCTGGACCACTCTCATTTGAAAATTTTCTACACTTGGTTCACAGTACAAGCAAACCAGTTCCCAATGCTAAAAGTTATTCTGATTCAACTCTTAAGCAAGATGCGACAAAATTTGCAATGATAGGTCACAAATCTATGTGGTATATTCTCACTCTACCTCAAACATTGTTGTTGTGCTGGTTTGATTCCACCACCAAAAGGTCATGTTTGAACTGTTGCATAACAGGGCTATGGCAATGAACTTCCCAGAGTGGTTCTTTTTCGCTTCTTTATTGCTCTTTGCTGGGAAAAACAATCAAGATATTTTCCATTCAGAATGCACATTAGGGGCTGCTGAAACTGAACAATCTCAGGATATCGATCTGCCTTGTTTTTCTGCTTCTGCTGCAAGGCACATTGCATGGATTCTGAGCCCCATCAGTGAATCTCATCAAAATCTGCTTGTTGATTCTCTGATTAGAATATCAGAGTCATGGCGACTCAAGCTATTTAGCTCAGATAACCATTACAAAGTAAAAGCTGGCTACAAGAAAAAACTCAAGAAACCCAAATTTCATGACATCAGTGAGGAAAGTCCACTCTTAAAGGAATTTGATTGTAGAACTATCCAATACTGGCTCCAGGAATTTCAAGACATTTACATCAAATATTGGAATGAAATTGTCAACAGTTCTGCATCATTTGCAGCAAAATCATCATGTGGGATTAGCCTTAAGCAAAGTGTGTTGTTTAGGAAAATCCCGTTAGGCATTTTGATTGGATATTCTACTGGCATTAATGAAGATGGATGTGAGCTGCTGCTGCATTATGTTGTAACTGGTTCCATACTGCAGTTGACGGAAACTCAGACTGCTGGATTGAACCATCGAAAATGGATTGCTGGAGAGCAGGAAGACTTTGACAAGTGTAATATAAAGGAAGCTGTGGCAGGAGCCTGCCTTGTATTCCGCTTAACTGATGTTGTTGAGAGTATGTCAGCTTCAATGTTTGATACTGAAGAGGGTGGAATAGACTCTATTTGCCGGTTGAAGCAGAGGACTGGCAAATACTTGTTTAAATGTATTAAGAAGCTACTCCAACTCAATATTGATGAAGATAATGTACTCATGATGCTAAGGGATCTTTACAGTAGACTGGTACGATGGAGACATCAAGGTCGAGATGTATTTCAAGGATCCGAGGATCTGAATGATGCCATTGAAGCCTTGAGTAACAAACTATCGTCCTGCTGATGAGATTTGTGAAGCATAGGCATTTTTGTAATCCTTGTATGGAAATGATTGTTTTTTGTTTATTTTAATCTGTAAATATGTGCAATATTTTGTATTCTTGTTGATCATCAGTCTTTGCAAGTTAGCAAACTCTTTTTCTTTACATTGTTCTCAAATAAGTCTCTCATTCTTGTTGCAAGGTCACCTCTCTCTGCTCATCTACCAAATTTCTGAGTGCATGGTAGAAGTTATGGAACCAAAAAAGATAAATTTGGTTTTAAATACATTATCGTGGCTCGTATAAGAAGCACATAGATGCACTCATACAATAATTGCATCAGTAAAGTAAAACAACAGCAAAAATAGGCAATCCAAATGCTCTCTGTAAGGCAACTTTATTAATATTTCTTACAAAGAAAGCTATGCAACTGCTTCTGCTACTAAGACAGCTACATAAGAAGACTTATTCTCCCGCAAGCTTAATGCTTTACCCTATGAACTTCAATAAACTGAAGCCTTCGCATATAGTTGGAAGCCCCTTCAACTTTTACATAGCATTGGGTACTTCACTGCTAGGTGGAAGCTTTTTTATATACATGATGAAACTTATAAGATCAATCATATTCTATAGTTGGCCATAGGTATTCGTAATATGACTACAGTTGAACCCCTAATCGAACCAACAAAATAGCTTTGCAACCTTGGATGACTAAGCTTTCGAATCATCTAAAAGACTAAGAAGTATAAAGCCATATAATCGATAGTAGCAGACAGATTCTATCAAGGAGTTCTTTTGACCAAAGACATCCCAGTCGGATCACCACCCCATTCTTCAAACACAACCAACAAATTTCCAGTTGGGTTGATCCAAGAACGTGGAACATGGTACCTGAAATTTTCAAAACTCATTACAGTTACATGAATACGCAGAAGCAGAACTGACACAGAATTAAGTAAGAGACTTTTTTTTACCATCTTTGAGAGGCCTGTCCACAGTTGCTAAGGCATTTCTTCTCAGTGAAAATTCCAGCATAGTTACAGTTACCGCAGTTACCATGTGCTTTATATCCAGCCCAGTGGCGTCCGATGTTTTCACCATTTATCCATACTAGACCTTTTCCCATGCTATTCATATCTAAAGCTAATGGTTCATTTCCTGCTGGTGCATTGAAAGTAGTCTGGAAAGACAATTTTATCAATTTAAAAAATGTCATAGATTCATTTATATATATATATATATATATATATATATATATATATATATATATATATATATTATGTGGAACTTATGAAAGAGCAATAAAGCCCATTATTGGGTAATCGGGATGATATTCACCTTGTACCATGTCAGGGGCTGCTTTTGAACCACCATTGATCCCTGTACCCACTCAACAGAGGAACTTCCACTGACTGTGTGAAGACTTAAATCTTCGCCTTTCAGTCCAACCTGCATAGAAGCATGTAAGCGAGTGAAAATCTAGCTTGTGGTGGCCCTAGTTACAACAAAATTAGCTTCATTTTCCAATGGATGCAATGAGTAGGATTTGACATCCATTTTTTAAGCACAAAAAAAAGCTGATTTAATCATATACATTCCAATATTTTTTAAAAAATATTCATAAACACTAAATTACTTCAAAGTAGTAGTTGGAACTCCAAATTAGTCCCAACAAAAAATGGATGCAAAAAAGTATTAAGCAAACAAACCTTATAGGACCATTGTTGCTTTGTCAAATCTCTTGTCCCCTCATCGAGACCCTTTAAGGTGACTGGGCCAAGAACCCCAGCATTAAATGTCTCAAAATGCACGCCGACATTCTGAGATTGATCAGATATGGTATTAGGAAGACTAATAAATGTGATGTTCCTCAACTATCATTCACATCAAAAGGCATAGACATGTCAGAAAAACAAGAACTAACCGGAAGACCAACGGCAACACTTAGTAAAGAAATCTTGTTAACACCAGCTCTTAAATTCACTCCATTACTATATGTTAGTTTTGGATTATCTAATCCACCCCAAACAGTTCCTGCCATAACAATAGAAATCAATGAGTTAACGAATTTAGTGAATGGAAATTTTTCGGACAAAAAAAAAAAAAAAAAAAATAGTGAATGGAGGCAGAGGTTGAACTTTATTCCACAAAATATATTTTGCCAATTCAAGTAAAATACCAAGCAAGATCATCTACCTGATAGTTGACCGTTGATGAAAACATGCAAAGCGTGCCCTGCTGACATAACAGTCAGAGTAGGATTCTGTCCATTCTTTAGAAATCCTTCATTAGGTTGTATATTCACACTGGAGTGAGCAAGAGAGTATACAAAACAAGAAATTAGTTTCAACACTAAACTATCACCATTAATTTATATAAATTCAACACAGAAATGTCTCAAAATACACAAGAGAATGATAGTTATATGAATACTCACTCGGTCAGGTACCACAAATAGTCCGAAGCATCTCTAGTGACATTTATTTGCTCCCACAGCCCATCCATTGCGAGTGTATCTTGGTCATCAGCAGAGACAGTTTCTTCATTATACGACTGCCAAGAGAATGACCCCACAGGTGTCATCTTCATATGCCAGCCATTGCTGCTAACCTGTAAACAAATTCAGGTCTTATGTTAAACCAATTGTTAGAAATCTTTGAACCTACATGTTCTTAGGAGATAAACCAAATCTTATTCTCCTAATACTAAAATTTAAGCAAAAAACACCTGATGTGACTAGAATTCTCAAATTCTTTTTGTCACTAATTGAAAATAAAATTATCAATGAGAGATTCGAGAGAATGAACTTTAGATATTGTGTCATAGAAAATCGTCCATAAGCTTACCCTGGCAGTGTTGAAAACTACATTCTTGCAGTCAGGGAGGATGCTGACAGACCAAGGAGGCAGGTCATATTGCATATTTCGAAAGGTCACCTTCGCTGAAGTTGATGGGTCATAGTTTGCAAGAAAGGCAGCACAACCGGACTTTGACTCGTACACATGAGCCTAAAAATTAAATAATAATGAGGAATTAGTTCCAAAGAAGAAAAACAAGAAGGAAGAAAACTGCAGCATATATGCATAGTTTCTGAAATGAACAAACCTCCAGATTCTTGCTGTAATAGGTCACTGCTGGATATGTCGAAACTAAAGCCGGTTCACATAGCTTGATGGCTTTATGCAGATCTCTGAGATGTGACCACTTCGGTTCCCTCAGTAATCCTAGTGTATAATAGAAAACCCGTCATCACAATTGTGGAACATATTATAATAATTTGCACGAAAAGTCCCAAAACTAATAGCAAAGATGCTAATGATCTCAGGTGCATGTGTGTTCTATTGTCTTAATTGCTCCAGAACTAAATAATCTAAGTTGTAATTGTATAACACATACCATATTCATCAATTGGAGCATCATAATCGTAGCTAGTAGCAATGAAGAGACCACCAGCAGTCCTACCAAAATTTGTTCCTCCATGGTACTAAAGCCACCAAAAAGATTTTCAAAAATTAAATAAAAGTCATAATAGTAATAAATTACACAAAGCACTTAGTAACAAAGATGCTAATGATAAAAAACTAAAGCTGAGTGTTTTTTTTTATTTTTTATTTTTTGAAGCACAGTGAAAATTTGACTTACCATATAATAATTCATGAATGAACCATTATTCTGTATAAACCTTGCAACTGAATATGCCAGGTCTTCTACTGGCCTGTAAGGAACTGGACCACCAAACGCGGTGTACCTGGGAGGATTAACCAAAGGAAAAAGGATAACAAATTTTTTTTATCTCTGGGTAATTACACAACATGGTAAAAAGTAAAAAAAGAAAAAAAGAAAGAAGGTTTTGGCCATATAGGGCAAGAATCCGTGACATACCAGCCAGTCCAGTTTTCGGTAAACATTTTGGGTTTATAGTCTTTGTTTGGTTTGAAGCCTTCACAGTAGAAACCATTGCAAGTGTCAATCTGTCACAATCAAGGAATATAAGTTTTGAGAGAGAGAGAGAGAGATAAAGAAAGAGCCATTGCCATCAAAATAAAGAATGCAATTTGTTATTATCCATTTAGAATTTGACAACTCAACCAGCTTTGAAATAATATGGTTCTCAAGTCACAACCAGATATGCGAATCAAATTATTCAACCTACATATAATAAGTTAATCACAACATAAGCAGAAGAGATGAATATTAATTACTTCATTCAAGACTATAAAAAGTGGACAACACACTGTTCAACAACCCCACAAACTAGTATACATGCAAGGAACCAACAATGGTAGTAGAAAAATGACAAGAAGAAGCTAAAAGAAACCCGTGAAAATTTTGGGAAATGCCTCTTACAATTGGATCAGGGGCATCCTCTTGTTTGCACATAATCCATGGGACACCAGTGTCAAGTCCGACAGCCATTTTCGCAACCCATTGCGTATAAGCTCTGCCAGGAGCACCAATTTCCCACTCCACTGGTCCATACTCATTCTCTATCTGTAATATGCATTAAACAAAATGAACTCGAATAAATTTTCTTGTCAATGGTTACCTTTTTCTAGAATGATGGTGACAACAAGATGGGGCTAATTTTCTGACCTGTGACATAATTATTGGTCCTCCTTGAGTTTCAAACAACTTTTCTGACTTCATCAAGCTGACAATTTTCGCAGTAAATCCTTGCATTGCTCTCTTCATAATGGTCAATTAGAAATCAAAATTAATGAAAGAAATAAATACACAACAACAAACTTGTAACCTGGTAGGGACAAACATAAAAATCGAAATAACTGACCTTGAAAGGCTCATTATCTGTTCGGAAAGAAATACCCGGAACATATTTAAGCCAAACAGGAAATCCTCTGTACCAAAACAGAGCAGAAAAGAGACTGGTTGAATATATAAAAATAGCAAAATTAAAATTAAAATAAAAATAAAAATTAATGATTAGGTATAAAATTGTCGGTTTAAGTTCAACTTTTTCCAAGTAGTTCAAATAACGTTTTCAAAAAAGTGGTTCAACTAAATATACACATCAATCACAAAATATACACATCAATGTAATCAAATAAAAATAGATATAACACACGTGTATATAATTGTGAGTCACAGTTTACGAAGCCATAACAAAAAAGGGGTGGAGAGAGTATGATAATGGTAAGGCTTACCCAAAGTTCCATTCAGCACAGACATAGGGACCAATCCGGAGATGAACATAGAGGCCTGCTTGCTGTACTACCTTGATGAACCGAACCAAATCATACCTCCCCTCAAAATAATACTGCAAAAATATTGAGAAAGAAACTATTAATCTTTTTGGTAAAAACAAGAAAAAAAAATATTAATCTTTTGAATAAAAACAAGAAAATGAAAAAAAAAAATAATAATAATAAATAAATAGAGTTAAATGGGTTTTTCGCATTACTTTCCCAGGAGAAGGTTCATGTCCATTCCAAAAGACATAGGTCTGAATTACATCCAAGCCTCCATCTTTGGCCTTTCGTATAAGATCAGGCCACATCTATAACCACCCAAAAAAAGAAAAAAAGAAAAACACCAGGAAAATGTAGACAAATTAATCAAAAGCTGAGATAAAAAGAAATAAAAAATTTACAAAATAAGAAATACCCAATACGGAAAAGGCATAAAAAAATTGCAGAAATAAACAATTTATATATGTATGTGTGTATATATGCATATAACATTGTTGGGTATGGGTACCTCAGGAGTGCTTCTAGGGTAGTGAATGGAGCCAGAAATGAGAATCCTTCTTTTTCCATTGATGAGAATGGCTCTGTCGTCGTAAGACACAGAGGCTGTGACCGAAGAACAAACCAATGAAAAAAAGAGCATCAAAAGTAACATATTGATTCTCAACATGTTTTTCAAATTCAAATTGTATGCTTTTTTGTCTTTTTTGTCAATTTTTCGAATTTTTCTCTGTACACAGAGAAAACGAACAGAGGAAGTATAGAGACAGAATGACAGAGTTGTGTCTTGTCTTCTTTTTCTTGCTCTTCTTTATTGTTTCTTTTGAGAGAAACAAATATGTAATATTACTATATATATATATATATATATGTATGTAATGCTATGTATATATAATGTATAGAGAGAGAGAGGAGGGGGTAGATAGAGAAAGAGAGTTGCAGAGTAAGTGTAGGGTGGATGGTGAGTTTGGTTTAATGTGGTGTAGAGAAATGGGATGGTGGGCAACTGCCTTTATACATTTTAAGGATAGTGGGACCCACTACTTCGTTAAGTGGGGCCTTGGACTCACCCTCTTTGACACGAAACTAAATTTTATCCAATTAAATTTCTTCTCTTTTGGCTTTGCTTATTTGTGGATTATAATATTTGTTACTCTTTTATCAAAAGTGTGGCTAGATTAATATCTGCCAAAAAAAAAAGTGAAATATATATATACTATATATATCTTTTTACCTTTGGTTTTTTTAAAACCAAATGCATGTTTTGTGTGTGTCCATTAAGAAGGTAAATAAAAGAGGATTAATAATCATCATTTTTTTATTTTATTTTCAAAGGTAAATTATGGATGTAAAAGACACTTTTGTCCTTATCCACTATCAAATCCAGATTTTAAGTATATATAGCTATCAAAATATCTTTTCCTTTTTTTCAAATGATTTTTTTTTGTTAACAGAAAATTGTTATTCAGATATTTATGCTTGATAATAATAGTTAGTTTATATTTCTTAGTTTGTGATAGAATCATGTTAACAAACAAGTTATCAGTTGGTAGCATTCAAAAAAAGGTCACATCTTTTCTAAGTTAATTAATAACCAATGATAATTGACACTTTAATCAGAGTAGTTTGGGAGCGTTATTAAAAGGCCCCCACTCAATATTGGTTTAATCAGTGTTTTATGATTATGACATTTTGCGAATTTAAATATATATACATCTCATTTTAAAAATAGTGTCATCAACATAATATATATATATATATATATATATATATATAAAAATTATGTTGATGACACTATTTTTAAAATGAGAAGTATATATAAAAATTATGTTGATGACACTATTTTTAAAATGAGATGTATATATATTTAAATTCGCAAAATGTCATAATCATAAAACACTCATTAAAATATATATATATATATATATATATATATATATATATATATGAAAATTACATTAACATCCCTTTAGTTTGGTCAAATTATATATAGATAGATTGTTTAAAATTTATTATTTTGACATTTCTTAAAATTGTTAGTTGGTTGTTCAAAAATGATTTTTGAATGTGAAAAGTTAATAATGCTCTTATATTATAATAAGATTTTATATTATATTTTATACAAAGTAATGCTAAAATTGTTAATTTCTTAAATTTGGTCGATTGAGTCTACCAAAAAAGAAGAAGCTATGTGTGTCGTTGAGCACACATCCCAAATTTGAGAAAATGTCAAAAGACTCTAAACAAGGTTTTGCATCGATAAGTTACTTTGAAAAAAAAATAATAATACTCCTTCAGTTTTAAAATAGATAAGGTGGATATCTATTTTAAAACGGAATGATCAATACATTAAAACCTCCAATAAAAATATTGTAATTATATCATGATACTTGGAAGGAAAGTATACGTGAATGCAATGGCGTACAAGGCATGAAGACATGATGCCATGGACGCCAGATGAAATCTTTTGGTCCCCAACAAATTCTACATATGGCATTTAACAGTTTGGTGCAGCAAAAAAAAAAAATAAATAAAATAAAATAACAGTGAGTGACCCACATCAAAAATAAAAATGAATAAAAAAAAAAATTCTAATTTTGCTTCTCTGAACATGAACTTATAATGTATGATAAAGATACTAATAAAGAAAAGAGATATTGTTACTAAAAGATCTAACCCACTCAAACAATGTGACTTCAAGAAGTGGCGTGTTCCCTACTTTGTTTGAAATTGCAGAATTTCTCTCTCGAAAAATACCGTTCATGCATTTAATTAGTGTCTTGCTAATTCCAAAGTCACCATCCAACCCACTTTGGACTAACACACACACAAAAAACACACACACACTCTCTCTCTCTCTCTCTCTCTCTCTCTCTACTATTCAAACTATTAAAATGTGAAATAATGAATTTGGGGCTAATCTCTGAAGCATGCTATCTCTAGATGATTTGGGTGAGAGCATTGATTATCATCCCAAGTCAGCTTGATTAGCATATCTGAACCGTCTGATTAAAATAATATTAGCCCAATAAAAAAATGTCAATTGCGTGCTTTGTCCATTCCACACATGAATTGCCGTCCTCCTCCTCAGTTTCTAATATTTTTCAATATCGTTTGAATTTTCTGTCATCTCTACGTACTATGAAGTCCTTTAATTAAGGATTAATTAAATAAAATAGTACAAAATGTTAGCATGCATTGAATAAGAAGAAATCATTTTGTATTATCGTAGACTTGGACATTTAATCAAACAAAAAGTATAGTTATTTATATAAAAATATATGTATGTAGATGGAGATGTGACATTGATCTTGATGATAAGAGTTGGATATATATATATAATAAAATAATGATGAAAAGCCACTGTTGGTGTAAGATCGTTTTCCAAACTTTAATGAATCATACATGACATGGCTTGGTCATGCCCATGTTTTTGTTTTTTTTTTCGTCTTTCTTTATTTGTTTGTTTATTTTTATTTTTCTTTAAAGTTAGAAGATTATTTAAATGAAAAATTGACTAAAACCTTACAACACATTACATCACTTTTTATTTTTTATTTTTGTACAGTAGCTATAGGATCTCAGAGTACCTCGGCAAAAATTATACGTTCATTAAGCTCAGTCAATGATAGATACATATAAATTTCAATATAAGGAAGAAATTATAAAATAGTGTAGGATCATTTCATAATTGATGGACTAATAAAATAAAAACTCATTGAGAATTTTTTTTTTGTAATATATTAATATACTTTTGTGGAGTCATTTTCTCAATCAAAAAATCTGAATTGAACTAGTTTACTAAATATCAATAGTTTTGAACCATCTAACAATTTCTTATAATCATGGTTAGAGAATTTTTTTAGTTTCAGTTCAAAAATTAGTTACAATCTAATCATTACTTACTTTCAAAAAAAAAAAAAACTATTGTTGTTTATTTATATATTTTTTCTTTTTGCCTCTCTATTATTATTATTATTATTATTATTAAAGAATCAACTCCTGCTTTAGATGGTCGAAATGATTTTCAAACTTAAATAAGAGATATTTGATATTTATAGTAATTAAAATTTACCGAAGTTCTTTACTTGCAACTTACTTGGTTCCAAAACCAATCCCAAGAAAAGTATCCAACTTTTTTTCAAATTTAATTCATTACAAAGAATAAAAGATGAGCTTTTTAATACACGATTCTTTGCCTCCATCAAAGTTGCAAAAGTAATTCGCTTTTACTTACTTTATTTGTGAGATGGAGCGTTTAACCATGCTTACCCTCTTTTATTTGGATATTTTATTATATTTAATGTATTTAATTAACATATTGTTAGTCGAAAAAGAGTAACAAATAATGGACCACTAATTTTTATCAACACTAGATTTGATAATAGTCCATTCGCGATTATAAGAATGTGTACATATATGACTTTTTTTGACTTTGTGATGACAATAATCTCGTTCAATTCATTTACATTAATTATGTATATAGTTTTTGACTTTTAACTATTTATTTCTCCTTGGTGTATCAACATCAACTATCACATGAGCTGTATTTAGTCTGATTTTGGGAACCAATTTTTTGTGTGCGTATTGTGTAGTGTCTGTTTTTTCCCTCTTGACTACTAACACACTCTAAACCTAACCTTGAAGAAAATAACAATTAAAGTTACAATTCCATATATTCATTCATATTAATATCTATAAAAATAAGTTACTCGTGGTCAAAAGGGTTTGGTCATGCAATTCAACTACGTGACCACAAGAAGTCATTAATTGAAGTAAATGGCTGATTCATCATCAGTTTTCAGCTTATGTCTATATATTGCTTTCAAACAGAATTACCCAACATTAGCACACTCGCACATCACATTATATATATATATATATATATATATAGAGAGAGAGAGAGAGAGAGGTGTTTTAGGTCCAATTACCTCTTGTGCAGTCATCTCAAAATTTATTATCAAATCATAAGTTTTCAATGTTACATTATACAGTGTGTGTATATATATATATACACACACGTAGTAGGGTCAAAATTATGGACTTTATCACCTTCCAGATGAAAATGAAACGTGCATTACGAGAAAAGAAGGGATCGAATCTTCACATTTTTATTTGGGTTTTCTTTGTTAATGGGTCGGGCCCACATGTTCCACAAAGTTAATAACCTCACGTATCATATTCATATCTACTAGAGAGCCCAAATCCATAAACTTTGCCGCCCTTATCAATCAGTAAAAGCAAGTGAATGCTTTTTATCAAATCAAATCTATGTTGCTCTCTATTTATATCTATTTATATATTTATATATATATATTTGCACATATATCTATTTATATGAGGATTCCAAATAATTACTTCAAAAATGCTTTTTTTTTGTTAGTGCCAAGTTTTGTTCCATAAAATTAAAAGTGAAAATTTTAAAATATGGATTTTTAGTTTGAGATTTTATGTGCTAATTGTAGTTGAGAACTTATATAATTTTTGTTTCTTTTATTAAAGAATTTTGTTCAATTTTATATAAAACTTTATTGGATAATAATAAGCATTTTTATAATTGAGAAAAATAAAAGAGGATGAGAATGCCACGAGGGATTGTCAAGTGGGTCCCATTTTGCTATCCTTTCAATCCCTCTTCTCACAAATGTTTCCTTCTTAACTTTCCTTTCATTCGACAAATACAATCTTTAATTGTTTTCATGCGACGAAAATATGAGTTAAAATTATCCTTAAGATAATGGAATATTACTTATAACTTATTTGTGCATGCATGTGATGATGTTCACTTGACAATTCACGTTAGACAAAAGATATATGTATGTATGTATATATATATATATATACAATTACACAAATATTTTATGAATTATATGACATTTTTCGTTTAACATTTACTAACCGTCATCTTAACCGCTTTAGATATAACATATTGGCATTTTAACTTATTTTGTGAGGTTGACACTCGAACAATTAACAAA